CTACAATGAGCGGGTGGAGGGAGGTTTGGAGTCTTCTCTCACCCCCATTCTCTGCGACCTGCTGGAGCGGGGGGGCTAGGAGGAGGAGTTGGCCGTCCGACTGCGGTCTGGAGTGTGGGGCCTCCCTGCTGCTGCGGAGTCGGGGCGGTCTGCCTCCCCCCACCGCAGGGAAAAGGGTAACACCACCTGGGTCTGGGTGCAGTTCCCCCCCTCCAGGGGCAAGGGTACCTAGACCCGGGGCTTAGAGTACGCTTGGGGAGTGTGATCGTGTGTACAGCGTCTCTTTATGTCTGTCTCCACGTTGGTTGAGTGTGGAGTAAGTGCATATGAGAGCATGAGGGTGGGAATGGATGTTTGTGTCTGTGTGTGCCTGTATGTCTGTGTCTATATGTCAGGTTGGGTTCAGCGCCACCTCTCTGGGGACATCTTAGGCCCTCCAAGGTTTGGAGGCCTATCTCCCCCTACCACCACTTCCCCTGCCAGTGGCGGACTCCCTCAGACATCGGTGCGTTGGTGGTTCTTTGTGTCCGGGGATGGGCGTCCAGGTACACACCGGCTCACTCCTTGGCGGCCGCTTATCGGGGCCTGGAGCCTGGGGCTTGCTCGGGCCACTTCGGAGGTGGGGTGCCCCCGGCCTCTCGGCCTGGGGCTCGGTCACTCAGGCACGGCTGGCTGCCGGCGGAGCTCACGGGCGCGTCACTGCAACTCCCCCTGGCTTCTGCTCCGCGGCTGCTGAGTGAGCCCTCATCTGGGACTCTCCTCAGCTCTTTCTGGGACAGTGGCGCGGCTGCCCCTCTGTTGGTCTTCCTTGGTCTCTTGTGTTCTGGGGGCCTCTGGATGTCTGGAGTTTTGATCTCCTCCATACCTGCTTCATGCCCTGGAGGACGGGGCTGTGGCCCCCCCACACCCTCTAGCAGATCATTACATGAAGGAACCTTTTAAAAAACAAGCGCGTCCATGCTCACAGGTGTACACACGGGTGTCACACCCACAAACTACACCCTTTTTGGCTCCTACCTCAAAGCACACTGTGTTCTGTTGATCTTATGTGCTGCACAATAATGTTTAATATTTAGTATTTACTGTCATATTCCCATATATCATTGTGATGTTGTTTATTCTATTACTCTTGTTCTCTTCTGCTTGTTTTCTTTTTTCTTTCTCAGCAGGTGACCAGGTGATGATATATGCATTTTTTTTCTTTTCTTTTTCTGCTCACTCTGTTGGTTTTTGTTTTTGCCCTTCTCCCCCGTCCCTCTTCTCAGCTGTTTCTCTTTCCCTCTTTCTTTCTCCCCTTCTTTCCCCCAGTCAAGTCTGTCCCATATTCAGTAAGTGAAAATAAAATAAACAATAAAAGGTGAATCAAATTGACCATTATGGCAAGGCTGGGATGGTCAATTTTCAAAAGTAATTAATTACTTTATTACTTAGTTTCTTCCCTTCCAGAGTGTACAGTGGATGCTAATGTTTTTGTAACTGTTTACCGAATCAAACTCAAAGTAATGTCAGTACACACTTAAAATGCTGCGCGGTCGTACTCTCTCCTGCACTCCATATTATGCATCGTTGATCTGCACAGGTGTCTGTTGCTGCCACAGACGTCGCACACTCATACATCATTTGAGACACTCTCGCAAATAAAATCACGGTTTAGTAACGCAGTAACACAGCGTGCTTACAGGAAAGTAACAGTAATCCAATTACTTTACTCATTACTTCAAAAAAGTAATCAGATTATGTGTTACTGCCCATCTCTGGTGACGAATAAGAGCCAAACCTCATGGATGACAAAAGAGAAAAAGAACACTTGAGCCTTGGACACTGTAGACTCCTCACCTGAAAACTGCAGAAATTAAAATGTAAAAAAAATTATATTTACATCAAGTAATTTCTCATTTTGAATACGCTCCTGTTTCTTATCCCACGTCTGTTTACTGTTTTTCCAACCTGCAGAAGTAGACGATGGACCTAATAACATCCCCATAATAACATCAATAGAACATCATTAGAAAATGAACTTCAACCATTTTTAAAAAGTGATTAAAATTTTTTTTATCTGATACAGGCAATGCAGAAACTGAGCAGCTGCAGGACAGTTAATAGCTACAGCTAACCGTCCACCTCTGACCCTATACACAATGTACAGTTCAAACTTAGCGTTTTCACTCATAAAGTACATGTAGAAGTGGTCAGAAGAATAACTCTTAACTGAGTCACTCTGACAATAAACTAGAGGTCTGAGAGAAACCAAAAGTTGCTGTAGAGCCTCTCAGCTGCTCTTTTTGCTGTTGTGTTAACACAAACTTCAGATGTTTGTGATGTTCATAAACATACGCTTTCTCTCTGCGTGCAGTTTTATCCAAAAAGACTCAGAAATAATTCATGCTAGCGCCGCACTGTCAGTTGTTTTTATTTATGCTTCACTGAGAGGCTATCAAGCTTGACACTGGATATTTTAGGAACCTGTTTTCTTTCCTAACAGGGATCTCAGCCATGACGTTAAAAAAAAGGAAGAATAACTTGGAATCGAGCCGACTGCGAGCACAGCAGTAGTAAATTAACTGTAGATCATTTACATTATAAACTTGGGCTGTAAATGCATAACAAAAATGGTTTTAATCCAGGCGTGACTCATCTTCAGATTTCACCACTACTTTCAGGCACGCTGTAAAGAGGCATTTAACAGGCATTATTAAATTTGAAAAAGGCAATAAAAGACAGATAAACAACAATAAATCCCACGTCTAGAACTCCATGTGTCCAAACGCCTGCTTTCATAACTCATAACCTTGAACTCTGAAGTAAAAGCACTCTGAAGTATGCGAGTGACCAATCAACATATTACACACAATGTAATTACTTCAGTGTATTTCCCAGAATATGCTGCCTTAAACACGCTACTGTAATTTTATCATAACATCCAGAGTTCAAAGGAGCGGCAGGATGACAGGCACACTTAACAGATGAGTGTTGTGCTGCTGCGTTAGTTTATAGAGATGAGGATATACGCTATATTTATAAATTTGGCCTCAGTGGTTTCCAAAACTTGCCAGAAAACAGCAGAAGATGAACTGCGAGCTCTGACAGAGCAAAGTCCGTGCACGTCTCTGTGACAGTGTTTTCATGCGAGTGGAAACGAAAGCAAAATAATGATCAGCATTTATATAAAATTAAGTTAAAGATGCCAAATGACAAATCAGATCTGCTTCTGCAGATGCTTACAGTGATTTTTCACTTGTTGGGCAACTCCGTCATCTGGTTCAAATGAACCAAAAACAGAAGCAGTGCTGAAGGGGGGTTGGGGTGGCATCGACCCATACATATTACTGAACGTGTACGTGACCAGTGGAGTCCAGATTGGAAATGCAGTTTGCTGATAAGCTCAATGATAACAAAGAAAACGTGTCGCTGTTTTCCAGCAACATTTACGATCAGTTATTGATTAGTGGAGCTCAAATAAGTGATTAACTTTGTATGGCTCCTTCACTAAAATGCTGTTTTCTAACTTTTCATTTATATATTTGAGAGTTTTTTGTCACATAGTGTTTATTTCTTTTTGACTGTCAGCTTTTATCTCAGTATTTCTTTTGGTAATTTTTTTTAAGAAATTGACCTGATTTTACCCTTTACATATATCTCTTAAATTTGCCATTTTTTCATACATTTGCCTGTTTTTTTTTCCTGTAAATGTGTGAAAAATACTGTCAATTTGTAAAGTTTTTTTTCTTATGATAAATTTAACTGCCTAATTTATTTATTTATTCTTTTCTAAAACAGACATTTTTTTATAGTAAATCTGTTTGCAGATTTTTTTTCTTCCTCCCATCATTGCCAAATGCTTGCTGAGGGGACTGTCTGTTCATTGGGTCTTTCTCTGTCTGTTCATTGGGTCTTTCTCTGTACAGTATGAAACACCTTCAGATTACTTTTTCTTTTGCTGAAACGGTGCTTTATGAGTAAACTGTTGAGTACAGTTTTAATGTACCTGTATTTTAAGTAATTTGACACCTTTCTACTTCAACTACACCCGATTTTGGATGCAGATATGGTTCTTGGTACTGTATACCGTACATACCAACTTTAGTTACCTATTATTTGTATAACTCCACTAATACACTGAATTGGTGAAGTTATATTATTAAAATAAAACCGTATATCGGTATATAAGAAATTCATAATTAATTTCAAAACAATTAGAGTGATGTACATACCGATAAATCAAAATATAGGATTCACTAAAATTGCATGTATGAATCTGAATAAAGACTGTTAAACTTTAACTACATTTTGATGATAAAACTTTAGCATTTTCACCAATTTTTTTTTCACCTTTGAGAGTTATCAGGAAAGGTGGGAGAGAGCAGGGGAAGGGCAAAATTCCCAGCTTGCAGCATAGTGGTCACCTCCTTAACCTGGAGAGTTATACTGGTGTACGTACAAAGTATTTAATGTACTACTTTCTGTAAACACAGCACAGAGCTGTACATGAACCTGAAAATCAATGACATCCATCAGTCAGTCCATCGAACCAGATCCGACTCATCTCTTTGCCATGATGACTGCTTGAGAATCCTGACAGGTACCAATCTGCAGATCTATCTCACACTCCAGCTTTCCATCACTTGTGACTCCCAGATTCCATGACGCTTGAACTCTCTCGCCTTGGTGCAGCTTTCTGTAGGAGACCCAATGTTTTCTACCTGCCCTTCCCAAACCATGTTTTCTTGAAAACGCCCCGGCGAGATATATGACACATCAGGGATTTTGCACAGTGCGTGTACGGCATCTGGATTTAGGAGGCCTAATAGTTTCCAGAAAGCATCAGTGCTCACCCTCCTCCAGTCACTCGGTGCGGTGTGGCTAAATACACGCTGTATGTCTGCACATTCACCCTGACACATGCGACACATTAATCACATGTAATCAACAGTCGGGTCTCCCCTCTGTCAGCACTGTGGAAGCGTCTGCCCGCTGCCCTCGGCGTGAGCGCGCCTCGACGCTCCGCGCGCACGAGCAGCCCTGTTTGTTTGTGTTGAGCGATTGGAAATGGCGGAGAGCAGAGACCAAAGCGATAACTCGGGCTAGCAAAAGCAAGTGCGCCGTCATTGAAACGCAGAAACCTTTCGCAAGTGGTTCTCGGAGTTACTTACGGTTTGCTGCTGCTGACGGGACACAAGTCGCACGCGAGGTGAGCGGATTTTCGGAGCGAGGTTTGGATTTAGCGGAGCTACTTAGCTGGCTAAGCTAACCGTGCTAGCAACCTGGCGTTAGCTGGCTCAGAGTGGTGTGTGTGTGATTTTAAGCACGCAGGCTTGTTTGTCAACATAAGCTGACCTTAAATTGATAGCGAGCCAGCTAACATACAACTCCCCCGGTCACCCATCTTAACCTGAGTGTGTTTATAACATGGTGGCCACAGTTAAGCGCAGATTTATCTGTGCAAAGTGAGAGTGGATAAAAAAGTCAGACATCTGACCATCCTGGTCGCCAGCAAGCTGCAAGTTAAGCTGGTCAGCCAAGTTAGCTAACTGGCTTGCTTTGCACACAGTCTAAACTGACTCTTTTGTTTGCCTGGGAATTAATCAGCCAGCGTGAAGCAAGGTCTCAGTGTTTGCAAGCTGAACGGACGGCTGAACAGGTAAGCATCGCCGTGAATGCATGACATGTCATCCCTACAAACCCTGACTCAAGTGGCTGCAGCAGCGCAGGGTGCGCTCAGGGCCTCCAAACTTGCCTGACTCATTTTTGGTTTTTCCACATAACGTTACTAAATTTCACAGACACCATCTTCTCAGCGGGATTTATAACGTGCAAGGCTCCGCGGAGCTTTTTCTTTCACTCCTTTTCCCCTCCTCCTCCTTCACTCCCCCACTCCCCCGCCACCTGCAAAGAAACGAGATCAGGCAGGTCTTATGTAATATGGTAGAGCCGGCCTCAAGGTGTCGCTATGGTTCATTCAGGCCGGATTCACAAATCAGCGTGGCTTACAGGCTTTGATGGTGGGCGTGTCCGACAATTGGCGGTATCCATTGTCATAGCAGCAGCACTTAGCCAGGCTAGCTGCGTGTTAGCATAGACAATATAAACATGTCTGCCTGTCACGGCAGGTCGTGAAATAGTCACAGCCCTTTAATCCACTGACTTTTTGTTTCTGGCTGTGAACTTTCCTTGGACTCGTGTCACGTTAGTGAGCACGAAATCCACGTTTTCCAGAGGGAATAAGTCCACATATAGTGGCTGTAGGAAGAGGGTTGGTGGTGGAGTTGATCATTTTGGCCTTATACTTGATCTCTGTTTACACATTTGCTTTGCAAACAGAGGTTGGTGGTTGAATTCCAGCTGTGGACACAAATGGATTGTGTCAGGAAAAGCAGTCTGTTTAAAGTTGTGCCAAATGAAATGTGGTACTGTGAACTGTACTGTTAGGTAAATTATAATAATTTTCAATTATAACGCAGCTATTGCTCTGTTTTCAGGGGTGAATGTGGAAGTTATACATGCTGCAGACATGAGCAAATGTGCAAATTTGTGTGATTGAATATGAGGAAACTTTTTCTCACTATTTAGCTTGCATTCTTTCCGATGACCAACAGGGGATGACTTCTTTTCTTGTATGCCATATATCTGCATGTCCTCCTTCTGTACATCTATGAATCTTCTCTTTGCTCTTGTCCAAAACTCTGTCTACACTGTGGTAGAACAGTTTGCTTCCGTTTTACCTGGTCTACTGCATGCACAATATTCCTGCTATCCATCATATCAGCCAGGTCTCACCCTTTAAGTGTAAGGACTGTGACTGATACAGTCCCTACTCTTACTTCCACACTCCTGCTTTTCCTTCTCTCTCGCTGCCTCCTAACATGCCTTCCCCCTCTATTCTCCCTTTGTTTTTAGCCAACAGCAGCACAGTTTTCACTGGCATTGCGTTGGCCAACAGCACCGGAGGTGGTTGTTGTTAACCCTGGGACCCAACCGATCCGTCATGACAATCTTATTCTTGATGGTCCATGTGTTTAATTGAGAAATAATTTTACACCAGAGGCTTTTCCTGATATATTCCTCCTCATTAATCTGGCCTTGGGACCAGCAGTAGGAGTACACTGGCTTGTGCCAGTGTCAGGTTTCAAGGTTTCAACAGGGGAGTGACTGGTTTCCAAATGACTTATAAATGTTAATGTTTATATAGAAGTTTAAATGCCTTGAGTTCCCTTGCTCTGTGACCTCAGTAAGCACTTTACTGGTAAACTTCCTTGGTTCAGTTGCTTGTTTCATATTGACTAAAATAAGTTAATTTTATACTTTATAGTCAAATAAAGAGTCAGAAAATAGGATTGTATTCTCAGTGGCGAGTGCATCACAGTCATATCCACCCCTTGCTGTTCATGTCAGGTTTCAAAATATCAACGTGTCGACATGCCATTCATCATAGGATTTCACTAACCTGTGGATGGGCCCATATTTATACTTTCAATGCTTGTTACGCTTATTTCTATGCTTGATCGACTTCTCATTCATTTTGATTGCCTGAAACATGTGCCAGTACTTGAAAAGTTTAACTAAATGAGCACTGAAGCCTGAAGCCTTTGTTTACCTGTAACTTGTGCCTTGAATCTTGTGCAGAACCTCAAAGTGTCTATAATGTCGGTTATAGCTGTGTGGTGTCATCAGGTGCAATTTCAAAAATGTGTGTAACAGCTAGTAATTTAGGTTACTCTTGCATGTATTTGTGTTGTAGTTGGTCCTTTGTGTTAAACCAAGTGTTTAAGTCAAAAGACTAGCAGTGAAAACTGTTCTCTTCAGCTGTTTGATGTGCTTTTCATATGTAGTTTTAAATCATTGATGTTGTTCTTCCCCTTCATTGTAAACTCCGTCAACTTTTTCGCCAGTCAGCGTCTTACCTGTGCTTATTGTTACAACATGCAAATAGACATGCACTATAATTCCACTTCAGAGTACAGCTTAACCCAATATTATGTGGCACAAGGCTGAGAACTTAAACTCTTTGGAGTTCGGTTTCATGTGGAGCTCTTGTGAGATCATGAGGATGAATAGGGTCCTATGGAGCTGTAGTCCAAAAAATGTAAATTTAATGAAGCAAACATTTTTTGTGAAATACTTTCCTTAAATACTAGGGATGTCACAACACCATGAGCTGCTTCACAGCATCCAGTATTTTGGTTTCAGACATGAAGTGAGAAGCAGAGAATTTCCCCTTCAACCAGCTGCTTTCTATACACACATGGTCTGTTGTAGTTTAACTGGCTTTAACTAATTCTGGCTTTTAGTTATTGTTTGGACAATGGTGCCATTGAAGGAGTGTGTCCTGTCGTAAATCCTTAACTGACCAGTCATCATGCATATAATCAATTCTAGTGTTTTTCGGGAAAAAACAAAGGTCATAAGTGTTGTTTTATTTTGGGTTGGACACATTATCAGTACTCTGTGGGGGTGTTTTTTTTCTAGAAGCACGTGTAAATGATTAGTTTACCTATTTAGCTCCTTATACTTCTTGCAAGATGATCCCTGCTGTGCCTCCAGCTGAACTGAAGCCAGTTTCTGTACTTATTAATTAATGGGATTGGAATGATAATGGGAATGGCACTTCTTGCTTGTCCTCTCCATAAGGCTGTTTGAAACATTGGAAAATGCTTAGGGATAGTGGATGGTAATTTTGCATAGGGTTAGGGTTAGGGCTGCACGATTTTGCATAAAATGAGAATCACGAATTTTTGGCTTAGAATTGAGATCACGATTCTCTCACGATTCTCTTTTCCAGTATAAATATTTATTGCACTTATTAACTGCACATCAACTTCGTAACAGTTGAGACTGAACATAAAAACAATAAATAAACATAAAAACAACAAATGTCTCACATTTTGTTGTTGCCGCAAAATGTTGTACTGCTTGAAATTCCGTCTCCACCGTTGCTCGACACTGCGTGTATAGAGCAGGTAGTGCAACAATAGAAAAATAGTTGCGGGACGGCACTGTGTAGCGTTTGTCTAGGGTGTTGATCATTTTCCTAAATCCCTCGTTTTGCACAGTGTTGATGGGAGTCAGATGATAAGTAATAGCCTCTAATTTCTTTGTGCCTGCGGGAGTTCGACGGGTATAGGGAAGCGCTGTATAAGGTTCCCGTTATTGATGTTTGGGTGGTTGACCGGGACGGATTTTCTCCTGTCACTTTGGCTACGTTCACACTGCAGGTCTTAATGCTCAATTCCGATTTTTTGATCAAATCCGATTTTTTTGTCTGCTTGTTCACACTACAAATAAAATGCGACAGCAAACGCGCTCTAGTGTGAACGCTCAAAGCGGCCCGCATGCGCAAAAGAAGATGTCACACACAACGCGCTCTGTTTAGACCCAGAGCAAACTATATTTGACTGATGGCCCTTAATATAAAGACTTCGGACTTCATGTTTCCCAATTTTTGCTTTAAGTTATTTTGTTATTTACATAATAATGTAAATAACCTAATAATTATCCTTATTGCTGTTTTAGAGGAGCGGTGCTTCAAAGGATAGCTGCAGATTTCTGTCAGAATCTGCAGGTTATGCAGTACAAATAAAATGTTCACGTTTCTCCAACGTTGTCTTCCCAGGAGTCTCACCGGATGGCCAGGAAGCGTTCGCGATGTCTTCTCGGGCGCTTCTCTGGTGCTGATAATTGGCGTCTGTCTTGTGTCAGTGACTTAAAAGACGGATTTAATGCGACATGACCATTCAAACAGCAGTCGCTTTCTGAAACATCGGATATGTATCGGATTCAGTACCACATACGAAAGTGACCCAGATCGGATTTGAAAATATCGCATTTGTGCCGTTCACACTGTCACACCATGATCGGATATGGGTCGCATAGGGTCAAAAAATCTGATTTGATGCGCTTTCGCCTGCAGTGTGAACGTAGCCTTTCTCGTCATCCCTGACGTGCTCTCCGTTGTTTTTTCCCTGCTAATTTTAGCATCACACGGCACAGCTTCTGTATCACGTGGTATAAGGCTCCGCCCTTATCATTTGTTGAGCAGGAAGAGTGAGCGCTTGTTTTCATGCAGAGTACGTCCCGGATCAAAATGGGGTACAATCGTCGTCGTCTTTTTTTAATTGTTGTTATTTGGAAATGAGATCGCACATAAGTATGAATCGAGATCGCGATTTTCCAACCATTAATCGTGCAGCCCTATTTAGGGTTATGTGCACCATTGTGAGCAGAGGTGCGCATTTGAAAATTGAATTGGCAGTCTTTGACTTCCATACACTTGACTACAAAGCAAAAACATTTCAGCTAAAAATATAGATTTTAAGTAGCTTCAAACATAATATGATGCTTAATGGGGGGAAATACTGCCAAGTTGATATATTCTACAAGGGGTCAGCTGTACATTGAACTCTAATTCAAACTGATCCTTGGGATGCTGCAGGTTTGTCTTCATGGGCACAGCTTCACACTTGCTTGAAATTTAATTATGATCAAAATACAAAGAGTTAATTATTGTGATGTATTTCCACTAAACTTCTTCCCAGAATTGTCTCTGATTATTCCAATTTTCACCAAAGTTTCACCCATTTCTAGGCATTCACAGTTTCACACGGGGAGCTGTGATATGATGCTGCATTTATATCGTGTTTAATC